TAATTTCTATAGTTGCAATTCACCAATGGCCTCTATATCAATTTGATGTTAAAAATGTAATTCCTTAACAATCTTGTAGAGGTAATTTAAATGAATTTATCTCTTGGAGTTTTATCTTGCTGGTACAGTTTGTCAACTATAACGCGCATTCCATGGGCTTAAACAAACTCTCCATGCTTGGTTCAAAAACTTTAGTTTTTGGAAATGGTGATGTTGGTTGTGGAGTTTGTGGAGCGACTGGGAAAACTTTAAGCAAAATTTCACAAGTTAGTTGTGAGCATCTAATCTTGATCAGATACCTAAGAGTATTTTATTTTTTATTTATTTAAAATTATTTTATTGTGAACATTGGGAGTGTGCACCTTCCACTATGGTGCACTTCACAAAAATAAGGAAAACAATATTTTTGATGAAATAATGACCAAAATACCACTAGAACTTGCAAGGGTATTTTGGTATTTTATTCAAAACTACTTTTTTTTTTTTCTTGGTGGGTGGTGGGTTGAATAAAGCGGGGCACTCCTTATACTTCATGCAAAACTAATTTATAGAAAAAAAATTAAAAATAAAACAACGTTTAGGCATAATATTGTTGCTAAAGCCATTTCAGTTATTCGTTCAAAACAGAGGTCATGTATAGGTGGCACCAACAGGTAAAAAATTTTCATAAATAAATAGTCTTATAATTAAATGTATAATTGAACGTTGATTTAAATGTGCTACCTTGAGATAGAAAATGTGAAGTTAATGGTCGCTCCTAATATAGAGTATGCCAGGAAAGATAGAGAATCCAAAGCATTGTGACAGCCATGCGTGAGCCCATCCGCCTTCTTTGTACTAATCCAATTTAATATTTAAAAGATTAAGTATAGGATAATACTCTTTTCTTTTCCAATAACACCACATAAATGTAGCGATTAATATCTAATTGTGGGAGATTCTTTTGTTTGGTATTACCCAAGACTAATTTAAATGCACTAGGAAAATATAAATTAATGGTGGCTCCAATATAGGATATTACGAAGAATTCGAGTAGGAAAACTCTAGAGGAGGAAGTATTAAGTGAGATTATTTGTTTTTCCATTAAGATCATATCACATTTACCAAGACCATACGAGATCACTTGGTTTAATCGGTCGGATGGCTGGTCGATGCCTTAGCGGGTTTATTCTAGCACACAAATTTGTTTTGGTAAAAGAAAGTCAAAATTAGTATTTAATCATTCGATTATCTCATTTTGACTGATTTGATCAACTAAACAAAATTGAGAACCAGTTTTCAAAAATGATTGTGTATAATGAAACAATTTATCTTTGATACAAAGAAGTCACAATATCTTATAACCATCCAATGTGAAATCTGATAGCTTGAATAGTGTCACAAAGTTTGAGAAATTTTCTTTTGAAGTTTGAGCTTGGTCAATGGAATAAATGTAGCCATCTAATTTCACATCCAATGGTTAAGATTAATTGTAACCACCTTCTACCAAAGATAAATGGTCTCATTGCATATTTTTCTTTTTCTAAATATATTTGATTTCCAATTTTAATTAGATGAGACCCCTTACGAGTTTGGTACGCAATCTTATGTTAGTTACTATAAACCATAAAATGTTATTATAGTATACAATCTCTCTAAAATTAATGTCTTTGTTTAGCATTACCTAAGGCCATTTTAAATGTTAAAGAAATATTGATTAATTGTAGCACCTACACATGGTGTACATGCACTTCGGGGAAAGACACAGTATCTAAGTAATCTCACTTACCATATACTCTCCTTTATAAATTAATGTCTATTTTAAATGGGTTTTCTTGTTTAGTATTACCTAAGGTTAATTTTAAGTGAAAACTTCATATAGAACCCTAATTCATTATATTATTTTATGGTAGACCCTCTTTTCATTTTTTTTTCATGCGGCATAAAGAAACCTCTAAAGATTTCACCTTATCATCTCTTATCTCCTTCTTTTATTGACTTTTTAACATAAAAATTAGCCCCAATAAACCTTTTTATATCATTTCAACCCAAAAACTTTTTAAACCCTATTTTTCCCTTTCCACCCATTAAAAACGTTTTTGGGTTGAAATGGTATAAACAAAATTTTTGGGGTTAATTTTTATGAACAAAAGACAACAAAAGAGGGAGATAAGAGATGAGGGGGTATGGGGAAATCTTTAAGAGTTTCAATATGCCGCTTGAAAGAAAAACGAAAGGAGGGTCTACCGTGAAATAATATGAGGAATTAAGATTCTATAAGAAATTTTCCCTAATTTTAAGTAGGAGAGATTATAGATACCCTCTTCACTATACTTTCTCCACCCTTATACTTTTCAAACCACACCATTCACCTAATACTGTTTATTTTTACATCGACCCCAAAGCAATAAAATAGTTTTTTTATGATGAAAATACCCTGTGTATTAAGATAGTTTCTCCCTTTAAAATCTTGAAATTCAAAATTTTGCAAAGAGAAACTATCTAAAATTTTTTAGAGAAAGAAGTTATCTCGAATTTAAAATTTTAGACAGTGAAGCTATCTCAAAAATTTTAAATAGAGAAACTATCATAAATTTCAAGTTTTAAAGAGAAACTATTTCTACTTTATAGAAGAGAGAAACTATCTCAAATTCTCATTTTGAAATTTGAGATAGTTTCTCTTTCTAAATATTGTAAACTAGTTTTTCTCTCTCTTCACTTAAATACCCCAAACTTCTCTCTTTCTCTTTCTTCATGTGTCTCTCACTCTTTCTCCTCCCGTGTTTCTCCAAATACCTCTCTCTCCTCCCGATAACCACTTACCTCTATGAAGCTTTTTTCTCTTTCTAGAAGTTTGGGAGAATGACTTTTAGAAAAGGCATGTCTTTTTAGATTTGTTTAATCTAAAAATACAAGTTTAAATTAGCTTAGAGGATAGAAGAAATAAAATCTACAATTTTTATACCTCAATATATCATTGAAAATCTTTGGTCTATTGTGAAATGAAACCTAAATATAAGGAGTAAGAAGATATTTTCCCCTTTTTTTTCTTATCTTTATAAGAGAAACTTGGCACCGTGGAGAACCGGAGAAGCCACATGGAATTGGAGAGTGCTAGTAGAAGAAGGGAATATTGTTTGGGAAGCGGTTACTGGCCACGGCCGGTTTTGGCAAGTTAGGGTGGTCAAGCGGGGACCTTAAAAAAAAAATCTAAAAAATTTAAAAATTAAGAAATTTGTTTGTAATAGTTTGTACATGTTTTTTATTGATTTGAAAAAGATTGGGAAATATTTTGGCCATAGTTACTTATTTTTTACAATTTTCCTTCTTTGTGAATTATTTCTAAATTACCCACATCGATATCCATTTTTCACTACTTTTTAATCTCATTTAGATATTTTTATTTTATTATACTTTAAACAATTGTTATAAATCAATTTTTAAACCTATCTTTTAAATATTTTTAAAGCCCATTTTGACCTTTTTAAGGTTGTTTTTTGTTTTGTTTTATTTTATTTTTATTACCTTTCTTTTATTTTAAAATATTTTCTTTTTCCAATTTATGTAAAGCTTTTTAGCCCGGTGCATGACTCCAACGCATGAGGACTCAGCCAAAGGGCGGGGAGTCCTTCTCATGTGTGCTCACCTGTTCAATCACCAGTGAGTGGGAAGAGTAGGGTTACAAAATAACTGGTTATAGAAAGGAACCAAATGTTAGATTTTTCTCATGGGTCCATAACGTATACCATGCAGCATGTATAATGCACCATTCATGTGGCCTTATTATTTGGCAACTTAAATGGTAAGAATCGAACAAAGTGTAAACCATTTCCGAGGTCAACAGCTAGTCCATCAAGCTTAGGCCTAAATCCTGGGTTCATATAGTCATCACACCCTATTGTCAACCTCTAAGGTTTAGAATTAGATGATAGTTTTGAAGAGCAGTAAAGCGCAGAGTGTAAGCTTGTTTTAACAGAAGGGTTCAGAGATTCGGATCCTTTGGATTGATTGCGCACCCAAATCAAATTGGCTGAATCGGGCAATTTGGATTGATGGATATATTCAAACTTGAAAAAAGCAAAAAATGGAAGATAAGGGAAAAAAAAAAAAGGCATAAATTGGCGATCTCCCCTATCTGTACTGTCTTGGTAAATCATCATACAACCTATTATAGATGAGGAATAATGAAAAGTAGTGGAAATATTGCCAATTATTTTTATGGTTGAAGTTTCTATAAGGCCTAGGCTTTATGAAAACACAATAAAGCCTCACCTCGAATCTTCATCTAGAAAGTGCTTTAATCAATTTCCAGTACTGACTATTAAATTTGAAGTTGAAAAAATATTACAGATCTTACGGATCTATGAGCATTTATTTTTAGGGCGAAATAGATGATCTAAATAATATGTTACAATATACACCATTTTTAGAGCTTGGAATCCTAATTTTTTCTCAAAACAATAATTCAAGCCTGAGATGATCGATTTGAACATTTTCCAATGCCAAAAATTGCAACTTTGAGGTGAGTCAGTGCTTATTTTGCAGCCGTATTAAACCATTTTTCTTTTTTTTAGTCCAAGAGGGAAACGGCCCAATGAACCTCATCCTGATTGGCGATTCCCATTCCACATAAAAAATAAGAGAATGGATCGATACCATAAGACTTGCGTACTTATGTCAAGATCCAAATTATAAAAAAAAAAAAAAAGACACACTAAATGACAACCATGCACACTATGTGTTTTGGTAAAAACTTCAATTTGTAGCGTCCTCATGTAAGAGTTAAAAGTATTGCATATAATGGAATTATGCTTGTCCTTTATTATCATTAGTGATAGAAATCGAAAATTTTAAATGACATTATCGTATAAACAGTAGCTGACATTATATGGTGCCCCAACTATAGAAAGATGCACCATGCATGCAGTGACAAGATAGAGAAACTTGCCAAATGAGGCCATTTTCAGCGTGGACTACCCAATCTTTGCTCCTTATCTTCATCAAAAGCAGAAAAACCATAAATGCAGGACATTTATGTAGTCTTAAGAACTACATCTACTTGTAGATTGCCTTGTGGTAGAGAAACAAAAGAAATTTTGGGAAAACCAGATTTTAATGGACCTTATGAATTCCCCACAGAGGTACATTTGTGGTACATGGGTTTTGTTCCGCGTCTGTTTGGTTGGAGCCCTTTTCATAAGCCCCTTTACGCTCGAGATTTGGACTCCGATCTGGACCGGTTAGTGATATTGTCACATCTATCGTCGTAATTTTAGTTTAAATGCATTGATTTTTCGCTGTTTGCAGCACATATCATCTCATCTATTGGAAACTCTTTTCATATTATTGGAATGAATAAAGAAGTAAGCACTCTAGATCTATTAGGGCCTTTGGGCTGGAGGAACTTTGTGATAATTATTTGTTGGAAATACTTATGAGAATTCATCAGGCGTAAAAGTATAATTGTTTTTTTTCTGAGGAATTATACTTTAGTGCAATTATTTTTCTGTAACTTTGTTCATGCATATTGTTTCCAATTAGCATACTATATTTTTAATGGAAATCTTATTAATCTTGTTTACAAATACCCAATTCAACAGATGGAAGGCGCAACCGTTACAATGATGATGAGAACACCAAATTGGTATCATGTTATTTGTTTGAATCTTTAAACAAAGAGATTGTAAATTTCACTTGGAAGCTTCACTTTTACCACAAATATTATCAGTCTTCTACTTTATTTAATTAATAAAAAGTCCATTTGTATTAAGATTTTTTACGACGTTGTCACTGCAGGCCCCATTGTGGGGGTGAACTGGGGCATGCTCGGGGACAACCTTCCGTCGCCGTCTGACATCGTAAAACTCATGCAACAGAACAATGTTATAACAGTACGGCTGTTTGATCCCAACACTACAGCGCTTGACGCACTCCGGAATTCAGAGATCAGGTGCATTACGTGTCAAGAACCAACACCTTGCGGGCCTCGCTGCTGACCCTGCTGTGGCAACGGCATGGGTCGCCACCATGATGCCCTACATCGATGAGGTTACCTTCGATTTTGTTGTGGTGGACAATGAGGTCATACCCACTGATCTAGCCCAGTATGTCGGTCCGGCTATGCAAAACATCCTCGCTGCCATAAATAATGCAGGAATCAAACTTGTCTGGGTCACCACAGCCATTGCCGTGGTGAGCCTCTCAGTCTCATACCCCCTTCGCAGGGAGCCTTCTCACCCGAAGCCGTGGCTGCCATGAACCCCAATACTGCCTTCGTGACCGCCAACGACTTCCCCCGCATGGTGAATGTGTACCCTTACTTTGGCTACAAATCAGACCCAGAACACATCCCTCTGGACCACGCCCTTTTCAGACCGACCTCTCCAGTCGTCCAAGATGGTGACCTTAGCTACCACAACCTCTTCGATGCGACATTAGATGCAGTTTACTCGGCCCTGGAGAAAGTGGGAGGGAGCACAATCAATATCGTAGCGTTGGAGAGCGGTTGGCCGAGTGCAGGGTACGGCGACAAGACCACAGTGGCAACGGCTCAGGAGTACAACAATAATCTGATACAGCATGCCATTTCCACAAACGGTACACCAAAGAGGCCTGGGAATACCATATGGACCTAACTGTTTGCTTTGTTTAATGAGGATTTCAAGCCAGCTGGAGAGGAGCAAAACTTTGCGTTGTTTTACCCCAGCATGGAGCCTGTTTATCCGATTTCTTTTCAAAGATTGGCCCTTGAATAACAGGAATATTTTTCTTTCTCATGCTATGTAATAGAGATTAGGAAGCAAGATGTTTTCTACTTAAGATTCTATCTTTTTCTTTTCAAACTCATTTGGAGCATAGATGAGCTTGCCATGTACTGAGCATAGCTAAGGGTTGAGGCCATAAGGTGAAAAGGTCATTTATGAAAATAGTGAAGGAACTGGATTTAACAATGATATATCTGGATGAGTCATCCCCACAAAATTATGTGAAGGTAGTGAATTTTTGAGAACTGCTAAATGAGGAAAAATATTCTTCTTTTTCTTCACAAAGAATGACATGACTAGCAGTTGCCATTAACAACACAATATCTCCTACTAGTAAATTAACCCAAAAACATGAACTTCACGGAAGATAATAGAGAACATAGATCTCGAGGTTTATAAAAGAAAAGGGATCTAATTATGAATAGGAATTATGCTTTTTGTAGGATTCAGCCACCCATGATTGGGTGTTACCAATGGTCAATTGGTGTCTTGTGCCAATATGGTCTACGCAAAAATAGGGTTTGGATGAAAATCTGCCAAAATTAGTGCTTGACCAGTTTTTGCCAATTCGGTCCACTAGCAAGGGTGGGTAATGGGTGGAGTCAGCCTATGGACCCAACTGGTAGGCTTGACGGAGTCCAATTTAGAGTAATTATGTAGTATACAAATAAATAATTTTTTTTTCAACCCCAATCCAACCCGACCAGGTGGGTCGATTCCAAGTCCAATTGACTTGGAACCAAACAGGATCCAAGTCCAATCCAGGTCTGGGTCGACTAGGAACCGACCCGACTCATCCCAAGTGATCTACCTGCCAGTTTTGACTAATTAGATAGCTTAAACAAAGATCCACAAATTATTTTAAAGTTCACATGGACCATATTAGGCGAGGCCTAATATCATTTGGTGTCAAATATGCCCAATATTACAAACACCACATTCCTCTTTTGGTTTTTTTTCTTCAGCACACTTCGCTTCAATGGCAATGCCAAGCGTGAGCACCTTGCTCATCCATAGCGCCTCACCTTGCAAATCTTGGGCTTGCAGGGTGGCTTTCCCTCTCATCAGTGAGTCTCTCTCTTTCTCTCTCTATCTCTGTATCTCTCTCTTTCTCTCTAATCATCCCATCTATGTCCACTTTCTTGTAATAGAGCGATCTCACACCTTTCTCTTCGATAATAATTTTTTAATTGAAGTTTTGTTTCCCTTCACTTTTTTAAGAAATATTCCCTACTGAACCAGAAGAGGTTCAACACAAATGATCATTGCTAAACCAGCATATCGTCATCATCATCACTGTCATATGCTCCAACATCATACAAAAACCTCTTATTTGCATCCGGGAGCACCGCAAAACCCACCAGTTTTGGATGGAGAGAGAGATCCACAATTTTGTGCGTGGACTAATAGAAAGAGAGGGAAAGGGAGGACTTTAATGACCTCTCTCTCTCTCTCTCTCTTAGTAATGATCGATGGTTTAATATTGAGGAATGGAATTATTAGTGCCAACAATAAAAATCAATATTTAAATAAATAAAATCAATAAACAACTTACTTGGATCTACCCTTAAATCACATGAGGGACTTAAGGTTTCATACCAAAACCTATAGACCAAGCCGTCCGGACAGGCTACCTTGAGAGTCATCTTAGTGAATCTCCTTCACCAATTATCCATCATTCTCTATGTACTATTACTTGAGGGGTTAACCTCTTTTTATAGAGAACCAACTTTTGTAACTCTCATATTCATGGTCTATAGGAGTTGAGATCCAAATATAACTCATACCTTCCCTTAAGTGCAGCTAATTAGGGTTAACAAGTTGTCACCAAACTGTTAATCCTATATAATGAGCTAAACATGTCATTAGTGTACTAATGACTCACATAATAGGATGTCATCCAAGTATTCCTACAATTTGATAAAATAGATTTAAAAATTAAATAATTTTGTACATCTATAATATAGAAAAAAACAATTATTTTGAAGAATCCAAATACATCACTGGGTTTTTCCTCCAGTGATACTAGGTTTCCCTCCAGTGCAACGTCCTATAAAAGCTCCAAAATGGATCCTAGTATATGGCATTGCCTCATGTCAACTACATGAGATTTCACATATACTATATAGTATGGATTTTATACCATTATTGAAAAATAAATTCCCGGGATAAAAAGGCCTGATAGGCCAGTATTCCAACATCTCCTACTTGGCCTGAACGCTCTTTAACTTCTTGTACATAGCATTGCCTCATGCTTTCTACATGGGATTTTCATATCTCAGCCTGAAAACTCTTTGACATCTTGCATATGGCATTGCCTCATTTTTTTCACATGGGATTTTCATATACCCACCAATATGATTTTATGAACCATTATTGGATTTCCATTTGGACTTATCTCAGTCCCATAGCTACTATATGTTTCTCGAAAATTTCCCGGCTTAGAGCCTTAGTCAATGGATCTGCATTAATCGCATTTGAAGGTATATAATCAACTGTTATATCTTCATATTGCACTACATCTCGAATATGGTGGTACCTCCTACGAATGTGTTTGGATTAAGAGTTTATTTTTTAATCCTTGAGAACCGCAATGACTGCTTGATTATCACATAACATGTTTATAGGCCTATTTTCAATGCATTCCAACTTTAAATCTATGAGGAAATTTCTCAACCAAACAACCTCTTGTGATCCTAAATTGCAAGCCACATATTCTGCTTCTATAGTTGATAAAGAAACACAGTCTTGTTTTTTGACTGCACCATGATACTGCACCTCCACTAAGTGTGAAAATGAAACCCAAAGTGGATTTACTTTCATCATAATCACCACTCCAATCTACATCAGAGTAACCCTGAGGCCTAAAGGAAGAACCTTGATAATGTAACTTGTATTTTCTTATTTCTGGGATATATCTTAATATCCTTTTTACTGCTTGCCAATGTATCATTCTGGGGTTTTTTTTATACCTGCTAATAAGTCCAACAACAAAATATAGACCTGGCCTAGTGCATGACACAGCATAATTAATTCACCTAATTGCATGAGCATATGGAATATTCTTGTATCATCATTATCATTAGTAGGACATAAATCAATGGATAATTTAATCGCTTTATTAACAGGGGTGGAGACCGACTTGCATAAATACTTTTTAAGCTTTTTAAGAACAGATTCTAAATAATACTGTTGAGATAAGCTGAGCATCCTTTTTTATCTATCTCTTGTAATTTCAATTCCTAGAACATATGATGCAACCCCCATATCTTTCATTTCAAAATTATATTTTAACCATGATTTTGTTTCATTAATCATATCTATGTCATTTGCAACAATCAAAATATCGTCCACATATAAAGACAATATCACTATCTTATTCCCACTAATCTTAATATACATACAATGATCACTTTCATTAGAAATAAAACCAAGTTTCATAATTGCATCATGAAATTTTAAATATCATTATCTAGAAGATTACTTCAATCCATATAGTGATTTAAATAATTTGCATCCTTTATTCTCTTTGCCATCAACAATATATCTTTCAGGTTATAACATATATATCTCTTCATTTAAATTGCCATTGAGAAATGCAGTTTTAACATCTATTTGAAACAATTATAAATCAAGATTAGGCACAATAAATATTAAAATTCTAGCATAATAAAATCTTACTACTAGAGAAAAGTATCAACAAAATCTATACATTCCTTTTGGTTATATCATTTAGCAACAAGTTGTGCTCTATATTTATCTATACTACCATCAGACTTGAGTTATCTTTTTAATATTCATTTGCAACCAATGGGTTTTCTCCTACTAGGAAAATCTACCAACTCCTGTACATGGTATTTAGTTATAGAATCCATTTCTTCATTCATAGCATTATTCCAAAAATTAGATTCATCATAATTAATGGCTTCTTTAAAATTGGAAGCTTCAGGAATATATTGATAAGCGAAGTTATAGTATTGGTCTAAAGTGTCCATGCAAATAAAACTCTGATATGATTCTAAATAAAACTCTGATATGATTCTAAATAAAACTCTGATATGGTGATGCTCTATTCCTAAAACTTCTCCTAGGTTCACTGTCATCTACATTAGTAAGTTCAAAGGTATCACTCCCACTATCTATGTAGTTATCAAGGATTTCTACATTAGGTTCATAATTTTCTATGTTTTCATTTACTCCATATTGTCTAATTCATGTATATCTATAAGAGAAAGTTTGTCTATTTTCATATGTTCTTCTAAGAAATGTGCATCTCTAGATTCAACCAAAGATTTGGTCTCATGATAATAAAACCTATAACCCTTAGAAGTATCAGGGTACCCTATGAATGAGCATATTATAGTTTTAGCCTACAACTTAGATCTCTCATGGCTCGGGATAAGTACATGAGCATGATACCCCAAATTTTTAAATGTTCCAATCGAGGTTTACGTCCAGTCCATAACTCATAAGATGTTTTCTCTACGGATTTTGATGGAACTCGATTTAAAATATATATAGCAATATGCAATGCTTCACCCCAAAAAATTGAGGACAAGTTGGCATGACTCATCATTGATCGCACCATTTCCATAAGAGTTCGATTACGCCTTTCGGCAACACCATTTTGTTTGGGTGTGTGGGGCATGGTCTTATGGTGTATTATCCCATTTTCCTTGCAAAAAAGTATCAAACAAAATTATATTTTGGTTGAATAGTCATGTGAGCAATATCATCTACCTACCATGTACTTACATCTTATGTTTTGCTATCTCTAGAATTTGAACGCTCTCTCTCTCTACTGAGCTTTTGAGGTGCTTGCCTTCCTTTTAAAAGTATTTTAGTTCTCCATCCAAAATTTATTCATCGTCCATATTATCCCTCAATCTCTTTCCACAACCCTTGATTTCTTTGATTTCTTCTTGATTCTCTCTCTCAGATAATTCCTCGATGTCTCTTCAACTTTAGCAGCAGTTTGGGTGGTTGGTGGA